AGAGTTGTGACTCTTAGCGACTAAACAACAGCAACACTTTCTTCTACAAGACTGTGTGCTTTATTGTGTCACTGATACTTGATCAAATATCTGTTGATAAAGGACCTCAAAGTGTTCTGATTACTGGTGGTCATAGGTTTTATTACAGGGTAGGAATAGAAAGATTTCAGTAAGAGGAAGAGAGATGAAGTTAAAATAAGACAGATAAAAAGTTGCTTCTCAATCCATATTCTTTTATTCTCTTGCTTTGCAACATTGCTGAGTAGGAGGCAGTTTTCCTTCCTGTAGGGTGGTAAGAATGCAAAGTATGGCCCTTGAGCCAGTGACCAAAGTCAAGTACCAAAGTCAATTTCTCTGGCTCATTTGGGGATTAAGGTATCCCTGAACCCAAAAGGTAAACAATTTTTCATTATTCATTGACTTAATTTCCTTCATGTTGTTGTTGTTTAGTCGTTAAGTCGTGGTGACTTGTGATCCCATGAACTGTGGCCTGCCAGGCTTCTCTGCCCATGGAAATCTCCAGGCAAGAATATTGGAGTGGGTTGTCATTTCCTTCTCCAAGGGGTCCTCCTGACCCAGGGATACAACCCTTGTCTCCCACATTGGCAGGCGATTTCTTTACCTCTGAGCCACCAACAAAGCCCTAGTTTCCTCATAGAATCAGACTAATAAAGTCAGCAATTTAAAAACTATTTTTATCCACTCTTTTAAGATTTTGTAATTTTGATAATATCATTATTAACATAACAATCCTACAGGAAACTTTTCCTTAAGTGAAGATTACGTCATTCGGTCTTATGTTGAGGGGAGTTTGTGATCAGTGTTGCTACCCTACGGTGTTGCCCTGTGATTTTCTCTAGGTTAAAGTACTTAAAAAGTTGATAAATAGCATTTGTTTTTAGGCTATGCTTGAGGACAGCATTTTGGCTGAATTCAGGGCTGAATTATTTTCCCGAAAATCATTTTCCAAAAAGGACCAGCAATTTGCTGATAACTTTTCTTATAAATGACTGTGCAGTTAAGACCTAATAACAAACTGATTATGCAGTGGGGTAACAGGAATGGGAGATAATGAATCCTCTTCTGAGAGCACTTAGAACAGTTACTCTCAATCTGGGGGGCTCATTCTTCTGCTGAAGAATGACTAGTTTTTTCAAGGTATGATTTTAAAAACAGGAGGAACAAAAAAAAACCCAGCTGTTAGGTTGATTTGTTTTCTCTCCAACAGTCTTCATAGCTTCAATTTCTAGAAGTTGCTCCTTGAAGATAGAAACATTGCACTTGATAATGTTTTGCTCATTCGTCTCCAGAATGTTTGTTCAGTTGAGAAATGAAAATGGGTCTCAGTGTAGTACACAGAGTGATTTGTTCTAAATGGTATGAAAACTGTTTCTGGGCCACAGAAGTGTTTGTGCAAGGTTCTATAAAAGTTGATGCTTTTTCTGATGTGTAGACACCTTGATCTAGCCAAATATTCATATTAGGAACTCTCCCCTTAAACATATGTCATTGGTTTTGTGTAATAGTAAAAGGGAAATGGGTAAAACTCTGCCAAAGCCCAGGCACTGATTTGAATTAGGGGCAGTGGGAAATCCCCCCCATGTTTATGGTGAAAGTGACCCAAGCTTACATACAGCATGTGTTAGTGTGTAAGGGATACCGGCGTTACCTGTTCAGCCAAAAAGAAAATCTTTTATTAAGATGATTGGAATTCAAATCCTGTTTTACTGATCTGGTTTCCTGGCATTTGGTGGTGGGGGCGGAACTCTAGTCTGTCTGGTGCTTTTGTTTCAGGAACAAAAGTGAACACAGTAGGGGGTCCACCCAAATCCTCCCCCTTCACCCCTTTTAAAACCAAACTGAGCAAGAGGACCAAGTTACCGCTTTATTCACATTTTGGTCTTCCTGTGGTGGCGGTCGTGCCCTTGGTCCCACTGCTTACTTTGATCCACGTTTGCCCCCAGTAGAGATCAAAACTACTTTTTATGGACTTAGAGTCTGGCAATATGCTGGCAAATGGGAAAACAAGCAACATAAAGCAAATTTCTGCCATGATGCTTTTTAATATTGAGACAGATTTTCATCTAACAGTCAACAGAACGGAATGTGAGAGTACCATGGAGCTCAAGGCTGTAAACACTGCTTCCGGATGACATATCCCTAAGGGTACAGATCATAGAGTTTCTATGTTATTCAGCGTGTCACTCTATGGGCACAGAACTGATTTTTGCCTCAGAAAATGTCTCTTTCTCGAAACTCCAGCTGTCCTTCATTCATGAAGCAGTGTTTTAATAAGGTGGTTGTTTACTAGGAAGTGAAGCTAACACTAATAATGAATCACTGACAATATAGCACATTTCTTATAGATTTTCTCCTTGCTGCCAAACAGCTGGAGGAAAAGTGGGGAAAATGCAATCAAGCATTTAAGTATCATAGCTAGATGTTTTCAAACATTAAGTGGCCAGATGTTCAGTATTGTGGAGGTAATGTGTATGATTGCCTGCCTTCTAAAATATTTTATCTGGGTCTTTTGACGTTCGGTAGATAGAGTCATGGACTATTCTGCATTTTCAGGATGCTGAGCAGTTTTTCTGATCGTGAGTGGCAACAATAATGCTGAAGACTCTCAAGAGCCAAGCCTGGCAGGGACTGTGTGAAAGACTTGGACTGTGGTTAAATGGGTCCCTCTCCTGGCGAAAGTGCATGGAAGCACGTGCCTTTTAAAAGGCATGGGTTGAATCGGTTTTCAGTCTTCCAGTAAGGTGCATCTAGGAATTAAGAAGTTGGGTAAAGAGATCAGGTCCTCTTGTTTTCCTCAAGACCCAAAGGCAGAATAACCAGATGCTTCACTGAAATACCCAGTTCTAAGATAGAAAGCACACTGTCCTAATACCATTGAAGATACTGGCTTATAAGAAATCTAGTCTCACTAAACTGAAAGGTGGTTGTATCCTTCTTCAGATGAATGCCTCATCTGAATTTTAAAAAGCCAACTTTAAAAAATCCAAAGTACAGTACGATCTTGAGGGATGGGATGGGGAGGGAGGTGGGATCGGGATAAGGAACACATGTAAATCCATGGCTGATTCATGTCAATGTATGGCAAAAATCACTACAATATTGTAAAGTAACTAGCCTCCAACTAATAAAAATAAATGAAAAAAAATAAAGCTTAAAAAAAAAAACAAAGTACAGTACGATCTTGTTGTCTATCCATTATATGTACAATAGTTTACTTCTGTTAATCCCAGACTCCCAGTGCTTCTAGATTCAGTATCTCATGATAAACCATAATGGGAAAAATATATTTTCAAAATACCTGTATGTGTATAACAGTCACTTTATAACAGTAGAGATTGGCACAACACTGTAAACCAACTATACTGCAACAAAAAGATAAAATTATAAAAAACTAAACAAAATGAAGCTCTTTCTCTTTTCAGAATCTCAGAGTACCCGACAAAAATCAACCCATGCTCCCCGCTGTACTTCTCTATCGGTTGCTGGTACTTGTAATTAGACTCATTGCCAAATGCTCCACTAAATTAAAACCCCTGGAAATTAATTATCTCATCAAAGGTGGCTCAGTTTCAGAACTGGGTTCAGGGATCCTGGTGCTGAGATAAGTGCAACTCCTTCTTAAGAGTGATAGAAAAAAAAAAAGTCATTTACTGACATGTCTCTGCAGGAATCAATAACATTACAGAACATGTAGGAGCCAAGAATAGCCTGGGCATATTAATAACTCAGCCTGCTCACTGATTTTATTCGAGATGACTGGTTAAAGAACACTCTGCCTTGATGACAGCTCCATGGCACAAGGAACAATGTCATCATTACCATGTGGGGCTGTTTAGCATTTAGAACACTTCACACATAAAGGGAACCTCACACAGGCCTGTTGTGCTTTAGACAGATGGTTTAATGTTTCTTTAGCCCTCAGCCTATCAGGCCACCCGTGGTTTTCTTCAGCCAAGGGCTTTTTAAAAATAATTGGTCTATAGCAATTTTCTAACAAGACTGACTGCAATATATTTCCTTAAATCTTTTTCTTACCCTCAACCATCCCTTACAGTGGTTTGTCGTTGACAAACCTCCCTGACTGACACTGAGTCTTCGTGTATAAGCAATTACTGACATAAAAGGAGAGGGAGGGGTGGAAATTTCGCCATTAGTGGTTTCTTGGCTAGGGAGAAGCTATTCAGAAATGATACCTCTGGAAAACCGTGCTTTTCTGATTAGACACTGCCCGGTTCTGAAGAAGCTGTTCCCCTACAATCTCTCAATACAGGAAATGATAACCCAGTATAGACGGATAACCATGGTGGCCAATGATACATATATGCGTTTGTTTCAAAGTTGTGAAGCAGAATAGAAACTGTGCCTCTGTCTGATGACTATGCGTGCTCAGGAAGGAATAAAGAAGCTGCGGCTCTTTATTCTTTATAATAGTGAGACTCCGGCACACTAGCAGAGCAAGCGGGGTGCATTTTTATAGTGTAAACTTCTGGAGGAATCTCAACGACCTACTGCACTGCCCTGGCCGCTGTTCAGCCCTCCAGGCCCTCCTGCGAGCTCCTTCAAGGGAACAAGACCCAGAGGCCCGGAGACTGTGGATTAGCTCCGGTGGAGGCTTATTTGCATATTTTTCTCTAGGCAGCCTCCCTGGTAGGGTTCAGAAGAAGCATGCTTGGGCCCAGGGCAGAGAAAGGCGATTACACAGCAGAGAGGGTTGAGTGATCAGAAGTATTTGAGAGGGCAAGTGTCTCCTGACTGTGCGCTCAGGAGAGCGGGTGAGGCCCAGAATGTCTCACTGCAGGCTCAGATTCCCCGCTGACACTTTACTCAGGGGTGGACTGGAGTCCCTGCTGCTTCTGTGGCTGCTGGTGGTGTCAGGGTATTGAACTGAAACTGTCAATTTCTACACCTGTGAGGAAGAAGCCCCCAGCACCTTCATCAGTGTTCTGTGTGACCACGTCCTGTTTAATTCCCAGCGCTAGGTACCGGGCCGGTTCCGCCTGATTAAGCTCGCTGTGCTAGGGCGGCAGGCTGACGTCGGGGACGCGGGCCTGGACCGAGAGCGGCTGTGCGGCCAGGCCCCTCAGTGCGTGCTGGCCTTCGACGTGGTCAGCTTCTCCCAGGAGCAGTTCCGACTGGTGCACGTGGAGGTGGAGGTGAGGGACATCAATGACCATGCGCCGCGCTTCCCCCGGGCCCAGATTCCAGTGGAGGTGTCCGAGGGCGCGGCGGTGGGCACGCGCATCCCCCTGGAGGTGCCCGTGGACGAGGACGTGGGCGCCAACGGGCTGCAAAGCGTGCGCCTGGCCGAGCCCCACAGCCCCTTCCGCGTGGAGCTGCAGACGCGCGCGGACGGTGCCCAGTGCGCCGACTTGGTGCTGCTGCAGGAGCTGGACCGCGAGAGCCAGGCCACCTACAGCCTGGGGCTGGTGGCCCAGGACGGCGGCCGTCCGCCGCGCTCCGCCACGGCCGCCCTCAGCGTGCGCGTGCTGGACGCCAACGACCACAGCCCGGCCTTCCCGCAGGGCGCCGTGGCCGAGGTGGAGCTGGCGGAGGACGCGCCCGTGGGCTCGCTCCTGCTAGACCTGGACGCGGCGGACCCCGACGAGGGCCCCAACGGCGACGTGGTGTTCGCCTTCGGGGCCCGCACCCCGCCCGAGGCGCGCCGCCTCTTCCGCCTGGACCCGCGCTCCGGCCGCCTCACCCTGGCGGGGCCCGTGGACTACGAGCGCCAGGACACTTACGAACTGGACGTGCGGGCGCAGGACCGCGGCCCCGGGCCCCGCGCCGCCACCTGCAAGGTCATCGTGCGCCTCCGCGACGTCAATGACAACGCTCCGGACATCTCCATCACCCCGCTGGCCGCCCCAGGCGCGCCTGCTGCCTCGCCCTTCGCCGCCGCCGCCGCCGCTCTTGGCGGGGCGGAGGCGACCTCGTCGACCGGGCCTGGGACGCCGGAGGCGAGCGCCGTCTCGCTGGTGCCGGAGGGGGCGGCGCGCGAGAGCCTGGTGGCGCTGGTCAGCACCTCGGACAGGGACTCGGGCGCCAACGGGCAGGTGCGCTGCGCCCTCTACGGGCACGAGCACTTCCGGCTGCAGCCGGCCTACGCGGGCAGCTACCTGGTGGTGACCGCGGCGTCCCTGGACCGCGAGCGCATCTCCGAGTACAACCTGACGCTGGTGGCCGAGGACCGCGGCGCGCCCCCGCTGCGCACCGTGCGGCCCTACACGGTGCGCGTGGGGGACGAGAACGACAACGCGCCGCTCTTCACGCGGCCGGTCTATGAGGTGTCAGTGCGCGAGAACAACCCGCCCGGGGCCTACTTGGCCACGGTGGCCGCCAGGGACCCGCAAAGGCCAGGTCACCCACCGGCTGCTGGAGGCCGAGGTGGGCCGGGCTGGGGGCGCCGTGGCCACCTACGTCTAGGGGGACCCCGTCACGGGGCGGCTGAGCGCACGACGGAGTTTTAACCTCGAGGAACTGGCCAGCCTGCAGCTAGGGCTGGAGGCGCTGGACGGCGGCTCGCCGCCGCTGCGAGGCCGGGCCACCGCGGGGCTGCAGATGCAGGGCCAGGACGAGCGCGCGCCCTGGCTGGTGACCCCGCGACTCGTCGATGGCTCAGCCCTGCTGCCTCTGCCCTAGAACGCGTCCCTGGGCTCCCTGCCGACCCGACAGCAGGCTAGGGACGCGGACAAAGGTCTTGACGCGTAGCTGACTTACCTCCGGCTCCGCAGCGACGGCGGCCCCGGGGAGCTATCGCTGCAGCGCCGGCGGTCCCCGCAGCCCGCCGGTCCGCTGACGGCGGTCGTCGCGGCGCTGGACGAAGGTCGGCTGGCCCCGCGGCACTCGCGCGGGGTGCTCCCGGTACCCGCGCTTCCTGCGCCACCTGGCGGGCAAATGGTGCTGGTGCTACTGCCGGCGCCGCCGCCGACCCGGGAAGGGGCGCGCAGAGCGGCTCCCTGAGCCCTCCGTGGCCGTGGTCGGGCTTTCGGCCAGCCCCCGCGGCCTTCTCCTGGTGGCCGTAGTCACCGTGACTTGGTCCCGCCCGGGCCGCGGAGGAGGAAGCTTTGGGAGCGCGGCCGGAGCTGGTGCCACGCGAGCAGTGAATGGCCAGGCCGCCGAGGGTCAGGGGCTGTCACTCTGGGGGCTTCGGCCTGAGCTGCTTCGTGGAGACACCGCCGCTTTCCGTTTCCTCAGAGGCCCGGGAGGGCGAGTCTGCAGAGATTTCCCAGGCCGGGGACAGCGGGGTGTCTTTAAGCTCCTCAGCTCAGGAGGGGCCCGGGTAGCTCGCCCCCAGGCCTCTTACTGCCATTGTTAACCTTTAGTGGATTTTCACCCTGGAAGCTTTGTGAAGGTTCAGTGCCCGATCAGGTTCGGGACTGCAAATGGCTGAATTTCTGGGGTTTGTTAGTTATTTTCTTTGAGAGGAAAAGTTCATCACAGATGAGGGCAGGAGAAGCCCTGATGGTCGCGTGTTCCTGGAAGGCCATGTCTGTTCCTCCTGGTTTGGCCCTGGTAATTTTCTTGTGAGTCCAGCTTGAGTCCTTTCCTTCAGGGTTTAAGTGGTGTCTTCCTGTTAGCAATTCAAGGCTTCCCTGGTGGCTTAGATGGTAAAGAATCTGTAGTGCAGGAGACCTGGGTTCCATCCCTGGGTTAGGAAGATCCCCTGGAGAAGGGAATGACTACCCACTCCAGTGGAGAATTCTTTGGACTGAGGAGCCTGGCGGGCAACAGTCCATGGGGTCACAAAGACTCACACAGGGCTGAGCCAGTAACACGTTCCCTTTCCTGCAGCACTTTAGATGACGGATGCTGCGCCTGCCGTCAGCCCTGATATCTAAGGGTGAAGTATTATCAGCTGCTGCTCTCACCCTTCTTTTCAATCAGGGTTCTGTCTCAGGTCCCTTTCACCCCCCCATCCTGATGGGGAGAGGATAAATCTGCTGCAAGTTTAAGGTAATTGCAGAATATTTATCATTGTCTCTAAGCCATGGGTTTGACGTTTTGTACATTTTTATGGATAACAGAGTCGTTCTTTCCTTTTCACTTCCAGGACACATTCAAATCCAGATGAATTTAGTGTCAAGAGATAGTGGAAAAGGAGACAGTGAAACAAATGGCAGCAGTTCTGATATCAGTAGAGAGCGCTTCAAGAAAGTGCCTTTTGGAATGATTGCAAAGCAAGAGGGTAAGTTCATACCTGTGACTTTGAAGCTCTTCTTTTCAAAGTCATAATGCTGTATGCTTCAATGAATTATATAATAAAAGAACCAAACAAAGGGGTCTCTACTGTACATTCATAGATGGGATGATGCTGATGGCTCAAGGGTTAAAAAATCCACCTGCAATGCAAGAGACTTAGGTCCGGCCCCTAGGTTGGAAAGATCCCCAGGAGGAGGAAATGGCAACCCACTCCAGTATTCTTTCCTGGAAAATTTCATGGACAGAGGAGCCTGGTGGGCTACAGTCCATGGGGTCCCAAAGAGTCAGACACGACTGAGTATGTGCTGGATGGCTGGACGCTGAATAGAGCTAGTATTTTAAATCACTGACTATATAGCTGTTTCTATGTAATAAATGCTTTGAAATTATTGGCTTATTTCAGTTCAGTTCAGTTGCTCAGTCATGTCCAACTCTTTGTGACCCCATGGACTGCAGCATGTCAGGCCTCCCTGTCCATCACCACCTTCCGGAGTTTACTCAAACTCACCTCCATTGAGTCGGTGATGCCATCCAACCATCTCATCCTCTGTTGTCCCCTTCTCCTCCTGCCCTCAATCTTTCCCAGCATCAGGGTCTTTTCCAATGAGTCAGTTATTCGCATCAGGTGGCCAAAGTATTGGAGTTTCAGCTTCAGCATCAGTCCTTCCAGTGAACACCTAGGACTGATCTCCTTTAGGATGGACTGGTTGGATCTCCTTGTAGTCCAAGGGACTCTCAAGAGTCTTCTCCAACACCACAGTTCAAAAGTATCAATTCTTCAGTGCTCAGCTTTCTTTATGGTCCAGCTCTTACATCCATACATGACCACTGAAAAAAATCATAGCCTTGACCAGACGGACCTTTTTTGGCAAAGTAATGTCTCTGCTTTTTAATATGCTGTCTAGGTTGGTCATAGCTTTTCTTCCAAGGAGTAAGCATCTTTTAATTTCATGACTGCAATCACCATCTGCAGTGATTTTGGAGCCCCCCAAAATAAAGTCTGCCACTGTTTCCACTGTTTCCCCATCTATTTGCCATGAAGTGATGGGGCCAAATGCCATGATCTTAGTTTTCTGAATTTGAGCTTTAAGCCAACTTTTTCACGCTCCTCTTTCACTTTCATCAAGAGGCTCTTTAGTTCTTCTTCACTTTCTGCTATAAGGGTGGTGTCATCTGCATATCTGAAGTTATTGATATTTCTTCTGGCAGTCTTGATTCCAGCTTGTGTTTCATCCAGCCCAGCGTTTCTCATGATGTACTCTGCATATAAGTTAAATAAGCAGGGTGACAATATACAGCCTTGACGTACTCCTTTCCCTATTTGGAGCCAGTCTGTTGTTCCATGTCCAGTTCTAACTGTTGCTTCCTGACCTGCATACAGATTGACTTATTTATTCCCCATAATAAATCCAATGAGGTAGGAAATGGAGGCATAGAAAGTTTAAGTAGCTCACCTAAGTGTTGTAGTTAAGATCTTAGGCCAGGAATCCTGGCTCTAGGTTTCCTGCTCTTATTCACCCTACTAAACTCCCTCTATCAATGCAAAGGATCAAAATGCTGGAAAAGCAGAATATTGTGATTATTAATGCTAAAATAACTTAGTGCCACAGCACTAAGGGTAACTTCCTCCATGTGGGTATTCCTGATAAGAACAGGATATGAATAGATAAGTTTTGTATAGGCCAGTTTGTCCTTTACTAGTAACATATGGAAATGGAGTGTGTGTGTATCTCTCTCTCGCTCTCTCTTTCTCTATCTATATATATATATATATCTCCTTTTTAATTTTTTTATTCATTTTTTGGGGGGATTGGTTTTGTCTATCTTTGCTCTGGTTAGAGAATTCTTCACCAACACAACCGGATGCTATTCAGTTCATCTTCTGTAGTGTTTAAGTCAAAATCTCTGTAATGCTATCAGGTTCTGGAATGGTAGCTTCTGTAAGGAGAGGCATAGTCAATTTTGAGGTGTTTCATATTAGTCTCCACAAAAGTGAGCACTAGATGTTTAGTCCCTTGAAGCACATACTGCACTCTTGAAGATGAGTCCTGATGTTGTGTCCTATTTATTCAAGTGCCTCTTCACCATCATGGATATTTTTACCTACCCTAAGATTAGTTCCTTCAATTTTTTTTTTTTAAACATGATATGGCATTTAAAAATATTGGCATCCTTGTCCCCTTCTGAATATTGTCTAGTTTGTATGTATCTTTCCTAAAATGAGGCACTTTGAGTTGAACACAGAACCAGCTATACTCCTGACCTCCAAATTCATATACCTACTTGCTTCCTCCTCATTCGTTTCCATTTGCCACTTGTTTAAAACTGAACCCTTGATTTCAAACCCATTCTTCCTCTAATGTTTGTATCTCAGGAAATGACACCTCTATTCACTTAGTTGCTTGCTCTGGTCAAAATCCTTGGTGTCATTCTTGATTTGTATCTTCCCACACACAAGTTCCAATCTAGCAGCAAATCCTATTGAAATCACTTTGAAACTATATATATTGTCAATCAAAGGCCTTCTTACTGTCTTCACTGTTGCTGCCCTACCTAGGACACTAACATTTCTTGCTTGGAAGACTGCAGTAGTCTCCAGACTGGCCTCTCTGCCTCCACGCTTGCCCTCTTACAGACTGCTTTCCCTACAGAAACTAGAGTGATTCTCTTACTTCATGAATCAGATCATGCTAATCGACTCTCCAAAGATTTCTCACTTGTCTAAAATTCCTATCATGGTTTCTCATTATGACTGCTGGGTCATAAATTAGTCCCAAATGTGGCAGTTTATAACAGTCATTTTATTAGGCTTATGGATTCTCTGGGCTGTTTTGGACAAGACATAGTTTGTGTCTGCTCCTGTGTCTGAGGGCTTAGCTGAGAAGGTGTGATGGCTGGGAGCTGGAATCATCTGAAGGCGTATTTAGTCATGTGTCTGGCGTGTGAACTAGAATGACTACAAGTTTAGGACTGCAGACTTGGAGGTGGGAAGAGGGTTTCCACATGCCCTTTACATGTGGCTTGATTTCTCTCACAGCATGGTAGCCTTGGAAAGTCACATGCAAGGTTATGGTTGCAAACATGAATGTTCCACCAAACAAGACAAAGACACGTCTTGTTTTTCTGAACCAGCCTCAGAAAACATAGTCATTTCCATCACATTCTACCAGTCTAAGCAATCTTAAGCCCATTCAGATTTAAAGGAAGGAGACAGAGGCCCCACCTCTACATTGAATAGTTACAAAAGAATTTTGGGGCCATATTTGTAAACAAGCCACGCTTGGCCCCAAAAGTTCCTGGCTCCCAGTTGCTTCTCCCATCTGATTTCTCATCACTCTTCCCCTTGATAATTTAAGTCTTTTTATTGACTTTCTTGTTTTTTGGATCTGACCACCTATGTCTCTATTTCAGAGTTCTGCTGCTCCCTCTGCCTGGTAAGC